ATTTATCTAATAAATAGCAAAATCATCCACCCTGAATTAATATTTTAAAATATAGGAGGGGGAAAACCCCTTTTCAAGTTCTTCTTGCAATAGTTTGGCCACCGTTGCTGGTTGTCTGATGTCAAGCAGTGATGTAAAACATTAAATGTTCAAATTGTTAAATGGTTACAGCAATATCATGGCTTCGGCAAAGGGAAATCCTGCCTCACCAACCTTTTGGAGTTATTTACGAAAGTGAACAAGCATGTAGACAATGGTGACCTGGTAGACATTATATACCTGGACTTTCAAAGGGCTTGTGACAAGGGACCTCACCAAAGACTCCTGAGTAAACTTAGCAGTCATGGGTTAAAAGGACAGGTTCTCTTATGGATTAAAAACTGGTTAAACGACAGGAAGCAAAGAGTAGGAATCAATGGGCCGTTCTCACAAGGCAGGGCTGTAAGCAGTGGGGTCCCACAAGGATCGGTATTGGGGCCGGTACAATTTAATGTATTCATCAGTGATCTGGAACTTGGGGTGGGTAGTGTAGTGGCCAAGTTTGTAGATGACACAAAATTATTCAGGATGGTGAAAATCAAGGCTATGAAGAGATCCAAGAGAACCTTCATAAACTGGGTGAGTGGACATCAATGTGGCAAATGAAGTTCAGTGTTGGTAAGTGTAAGGTGATGCACATTGGGACAAAAAAATCCCAGCTTCTAGTATGGGCTAACAGCAAGGGTTATTTCCTGCAGGAGCGCACAGGAGCAGTGTTAGATCGCGCTAACCCAGTGGGGCGGGCGGGCGGGCACATGCAACAAGCCCCATCCCCTGCTCCCAGCAGCCCTCAGTCAGAGCAAGAAGCAGCCAGGTAAGTTGCAGAGCTCCCCCTGGCCCCCCAGTCCAAAACAGTCCAGTGGCACCTTTAAGACCAAGTTCAGGTACAAGCTCTGCACGTCTGTCCCCCCCCCCCAATAGCTAGCAATCCAAAACAGTCCAGTGGAGCCTGAGCGATGGGTGTTTCCTTCTGACGCACTTCCGGTGATGTCAGGGGGTGTGGCATATGCAAATAAGTTATGCTAATGAGCTCCTACACCTCTTTTTGTATGAAATGACCCCTGGCTAACAGTATGAACTTGCTGAGACTGAGAGGGGGAAAGACCTTGGAGTTGTAGTGGATAACTCAGTGGAAGTGTCAGCCCAGCTCAGTGGAAGTGTCAGCCCAGTGTGCTGCAGCAGTGAAAAAGGCAAACTTTATGTTACTAATAATTAGGAAAAGGAATGAGAAGAAAATGGCTGATATCGTAATGCCCTATATAGCTCTATAGTATGACCTCATTTGGAATACCGTGTACAGTCCTGGTCAGCATATCTCCAAAAGGACATAGCAGAGCTGGAGAAAATACAGAGGAAGGCAACCAGGATGATTAGGGGGTTGGAGTACCTTCAGGATGAGGAAAGGCTGAAGGGTCTGGGACTTTTCAGTTTAGAAAAGAGATGACTAAGGGGGGGGATATGATGATAGAGGTTTATTAAATTATGCATGGGGTGGAGAGAGTTGACAAAGATACATTTTTCTCCCTCTCCCAAAATACTAGAACTTCAAGGCACCCAATGAAACGGATGGGCAGTAGGTCCAGGACAGGCAAAAGGAAATACAACTTTACACAGAGAGTGATTAAAATGTGGGATTTGCTGCCAGATGTATTTTTTATTTGTTTGTTTGTTTGTTTGACTTGTATCCCGCCCTCCCTGCCAAGGCAGTTTCAGGGTGGCTTACATAAAACATTTTAGAACACTAAAACACAAAGTTAGATATAACCACAACAATACAATTATAAAACAGCGGCGTAAAGTGCTAGTGCTATTCATGGCTGATGACGGGCAGTAGTAGCAGCGTCTGGCATTGACATGTTAATAATGATGGTAGTTTGAATCTAACATTGACATGTTAATGATGATATTAGTTTGGGGCCAGGGTCTCAATTTATTAGAACTATAAGAGGTCCCGCAGGGCCCTGATGTCATTCCGGAGTTCATTCCACCAGTGCGGAGCTGCCGCTGAAAAGGCCCTGGCCCTTGTCATAGCCAGCCTGGCTTCTCTAGGATTTTGGGAACTTGATTGTAGTGCTCTCTGGGGAACATGTGGGGAAAGGCGGTCCCTTAGGTATGCAGGCCCCTGACCATATAGGGAAATACACACACCACATAGTGATCACAACAGAGAAAACAGCTTTAAAAGGGGATTAGATAAATTCATGGAGGATAAGACTATCAGCAGCTTTTAGCCATGGTGATTGAGGGGAATTTTCACATTCAGAGGCACTGAGCCAGGAGGCAACATCAGGGGAAGGCCTCGGCCTCTATTCCCTATTGTTGGCCATCCAGAGGAATTGGCTGGCCACTGTGTGAGACAGGATGCCAGACTAGATGGACCATTGGTCTGATCCAGCAGGGCTTTTCTTTTGTTCTTAGTGTTCAGGTATTCAGTATTCCATGTCCAGGTTCCTAAAGAGAACCATAGCTTGGTCAACATCTTCCAGGCTATCAATAGCGGAGGATTAGCTATGGGGGGGGCAGTATCGGACCCTCCTAGGTGCACACCCTCTTGACAAATGATAGCAGCAACAAGTGCCAGGGCAGTGAGGTTAGAGAAGGTTGTGGGCATCTGATGCATCATACACATACTTCAGGTAGGGGGTGAGGAATTCCCTAACCCTGGTGGAAAAGGATGACATTACTGCCCTGTACAAGATGCCCAGGTAGGCTACAGGGTACTGTCACAAGAATGTCAAGGGTGATCAGCTGCTTTTTGAGAAGGAAGCAGATTCAGATATCCATAGCAGTTCTATGGGCAAGCTGTAGGCACAAAGTGGGAATTCCACCTAGGTCACGCTAGAGAGGCTGATGGAACAGCAGAGGGCCCTTCTTGAGGTGGCCAGGGTGGGTGATAACTAAAGTTAAGGCACCAGTTCATTTCCAGTGAGGGACAGGGATTCCACATCCTGAAGCCTTTCAGGAATGCCATTCAAGGACTGGTGCCAGAGTTGGAGAAGCAGCTGGCATTCCTCATGGCCAGCCTGGGGTTCTCCCAGTGGCCTTCTGAGCTGAAGCGAGTCCCACCCACACTGCTCCGACTGCCTTTACAGCCTCCACAGCATACTCTGTCCCCCCTGCTCAGTTGTACTGCTGCTACCTGTTTTTCTTGGGGTTACAGCTCTGCCCACCCAGCTGCTCCCTACAGGGTTGTCAACCTTCATGTGGGGCAGGAAGTCCTCCCAGAATCCAACTGATCTCCAAACTACAAAGATCAGTTCCCATGGAGAAAATTACTGCTTTGGAAAGCAGACTGTGGGTGCGTTCAGACAGGCTGTTTAGTCTGCTTTTGGCACGCTTCACTAACGGATTTTATATCCACATTCACACACCCAACATCTGCGCACCATCCCCAGCCATTGCTTTCCGGCTCAAACCCCCTTTAAAACGGAGTATTTTCTTACCAGGTCCCCAAGTGGTGTTTTTCTGATTCTCCGGTTTTAGCCGCATTTTTCTGACGTCTGATCGCTCCTGCGGTGTCAAGCCACTTCTGCTCGGAAGTCCAAGGCTTCCGCTCTTCACCCGCCATTGTATTTTAGCATTGACGGTATGTGCACAGGCGGCGCTCCGCTCCCGCGTTATTAAAACCAATGTTTAAACAGTGCCTAGTTTTGTGGGTTAGACAAGTTCAAGATCTCACAGAGGCCAGTTTCGGGGTAAACGTGTTCCTTTAAAGTTTAAAGGGAAGTGTTACAGCAGTTGGGTTGAAGTGGAAATTGCTGTTCTGCGCACGCGCGAAAATTTTAATTCTACAGATGGCCACCTGTGCGCATGCCCAAACTTGGAGAGAGAGAAAAACACCAACACACGCTCCCGCGTGCAGACGGCGGGGAGTGATGTGGCTGCGCAGCAATCCAGAACAAGGAGGTGAGTGTGATCGCGATTCTCCAGGTTAAAAAAAAACACACATCCGGACCAGAGCAATTTAAACCGCTCCCAGCACGCCATCTGACCGCACCCCGTGGGTGATTCCGCACTAGACCTAAAATCCTGGTTCACCCCTGTCCCTGAACTTACATCCTACACTACACTCAAGTTCACCCCTGTAATTATCTCGGGGTATTTTTTGTTTCCACATTACATTGAGGTCACCCTGGTTTCGCCCCACACTTGTCCCAGGATAAACGGATGCTGTTATAACCAGGGATAAATACAAGGTATTGTGTCGTGAATGGAACTCTGATGAAACCAGGGATGAGATCCAAGTGTGGAAAGGACCTGTATGGCATTACATCCCAGCTGAGCTCCCTCCCCCTTTTCCAGTTTCTGCCCTACCCAGTCTCTGCCCCCAAATCTCAAGGAGTTTCCTAAAACAGAGCTGGCCACCCTAGCTGTCTGCCTTTCTTGGGACAGCCAAATGCTTTCCTGATCTGAGTCTCTGCTTGACATTTTCTCTGTCCTGCAGAAGTAGGAATGCCAGCTCCGGATCGGGAAATACCTGGAGGTTTTGGGGGTGGGGCCTGAAAAGAGCAGGGTCTGGGGAGGGGATGCACTTCAATGGGGTATAATGCCATAGAGTCTACCTTCCAAAGCAGCCATTTTCTTCAGGTGAACTGATCTCTGTCGCCTGGAGATCAGTTGTAATAGCCAGAGATCCCCCTGCCGCTGCCTGGAGGTTGGCAACCTACGGAGAATTAAGCTCCCCTGGGAGCTTCCTGTTCTAAGAAACAGCTGTTTTGTACAGAAAAATATTGGCTACCTTAAATGGGCACATAGGATCATGGGAGCTAAGTTCTTATGTCTGTCAAAACAATTGATTCCCAACTATTACCACACCATTAGCTCTCTCACTGATGAAATAGCAACGGATCATCTTGGATTATTAAGCAACAAGTTACCTAATGAAGAAATAGTCAGCCAGGACCCGACTTATTAAACACTTGGGCCTGGTGGCTCCTGATCTACTTTCTCTTACTCTCTTCTCATTCATTTCTTCCCTGAAGCCTTTTGCCATGTGGTTCTACTTGGCTGTGTTGCTGGTCCTTTATTTCTTTCGCCGATGGTACCGTGAGAGACAGACTGTGGAGAACCTGACACAGAAATATGTCTTCATCACCGGCTGTGACACTGGCTTTGGGAACCTGCTTGCCAGGCAGCTGGATCTGAAGGGCATGAGGGTTTTAGCAGCATGTCTCACCCAGAAGGGGGCTAAGGAGCTGGAGAAGGCCACATCCGACCGCTTGAAGACCACCATCCTGGATGTGACCAGCACAGAGAGTGTTGTCGCCGCTGCCGAGTGGGTGAAACGATGTGTGGGGGACAAAGGTGACTGGTTGTCTCTACTTCATCATGCCATACCTAGTCTGTGAGCAGGCAGGACCAGTGACATGCATAACTTACTTCAAATATTCCTACAATTTGGTAGGACTACAAATTGAATTGTGTGGTGTGTTGTTGTTTTTTAAAAAATAGCACTATGATTCGCCCTAAAGAGCAGCTTAATGTAAGAAAGGAAGTAGGGAAGAGATTTGCACGGCATGGAGTTTAATGTTCTCACCTGTTAATGTCTGCCGATGAAGACGCAGTCTTACACACAGCCACAGAGATTAAGTGGGAAGCTTGCAACCTTAGGAACAGTGTGGAAGTAGCTGCTAGGACAGCAGTTTTTGCACTACTGCCAGTAGTAGGGCCTCATGCTCCTTAGTAATCTTAGTAGAAGCTGATAATGGGGGGGTGATGACTTGTGTGTGGTACCATCGAGTTTCCTGTCCCATTACCAGAGCGTCACCCAGCTACATGCCTACGTCACGTCTGGGCGACGGAATAGTGCAGCACCTGTGTTTCAAGCAAGAATCTTCAGGCAGGGAAGCATGTGTCCCCCGCTGGATCGTAGGTAGGTACTTGGGAACCCTATTTCAGGGGGTCCCCAGGTCTCTCCTGGAGGCTGACATCCCTATGTAGAATTACCACTGTCATATATTTGTCAAGCGCTTTGCAAGCTGCAGTGGCTCAAGTGGTTAAGACGCTGAACTGCAGGCTGTGGAAGGTCAGTAGTTCAGCAGTTCAAGACCCGGGTGCCGCAAGACGGGGTGAGCTCCTGTCTCTAGTTCCAGCTCCTGCCAACCTAGCAGTTCGAAAGCAAGAAATTGCAAGTAGATAAATAGGTACCACTTCGGTGGGAAGGTAACAGTGTTCCGTGCGCCTTGGTGTTTAGTCATGCCGGCCACATGACCACGGAAACGTCTTCGGACAGCGCTGGCTCTTCGGCTTTGAAACGGAGATGAGCACCGCAACCCTAGAGTCGGATTCGACTGGCTTTCGAGCAAGGGAATCTTTACCTTTACCTTTTTTTGCAGGCAAAAACACCGTCATCCCCTCTGATTTAACTACAACACTGGGTTTAAATTCTGTATCAGAGTACATCTTGGACTTGGCTAGTCCCAGTTGCTTGGATATGTTTCAGCTTTCACCTGAGGAGGACAGCAAGTTACTTGGTGGGGTCTGTGTCCCTATGTGTTGTCTTGATCCCTGTCCTCTTAACTAGTTGCAGCCAACTGTGAAGTTCTGGCTGATATGGGCAATTGAATGCTGAAAGCTCTTTGATAGTGAGTTGCGTAGCATCTGCCCTAATGCAGGCAGTTATTAGTAATCTAGTGAAAAAAGCAGCCCCTGTGATTCACTACCTGAGTTGCTACAGGCTGATTTACAGTTTACCATTTGGGTGCAGGATGCTGGAGTGGATCACGGCCACTTAACTCCTGTTACACTTGGATGAAGATCATTACTGCAAATGTGTTGTGATTTTGCCCTGCCATGTATTCAGTGTAGTAATGGTTTCGATTTTTAGCTAGAGTCAAGGTGTCCTCACAATTACCACATGTTCTCGAAGGTGATAGAAGTGTCTGTTGCTTAGTTTACATAGTACAAAACCACTGATTCGTCGTTCATATATTTGATACCTCATCTAGTTATATGATAGCCCCAACTAGCAACAGAGGTTGGCTGCAGTCCTGGATAGTTGTCAGTAATCCACAGCCTGAGGCACTGGGCAGGGGAGTTATTTACCCAAGCTGCAGAGTTTTGTGGCTACTAGAATGTGTCATCAACCCTTCTTTTTCTCCATAGGGTTCAAATGTCATGTTACCAAGTGCAGTTTATATATAGCTATAAAGATTTAAATAGATTTTTTGTGAGTTTAAAAAAAAATGTTGGTTTTTAATGCTCCCCCCCCCCCGCGCTTTTCCTATGAAACCATACACCAAACTATCTGTGTGTTGTCTTATAGGGTGGAAGTTTCATGTGTGGTAGCAGAGTGTTTTTTATAAAATAATGAAGGGAAGAAACCCCCCAAAGGTTTACTGGCACATGAAAATCGAAACTATATGTGTGTACAACAATACATGAAAGTTAATGTAAACTAATGACTTCTCTCTATGGCAACAGAATGTGTCAGTAATGAAGGGTGGGGCAAAGTTCATTGCAGAATCTTAGAAAATCAGCCACGGTCATCTTTATTTCAGGACTTTAGCACCCATTCAAGAAGCAAGCAAAGTTCACTGCATTTGCTATGTAGTAAGCTGGTTGCCTGTATTCACCAAAGGACAACACTAAGTATATATATATATATTATTTTATTTTTCCTCACACAGGGCTCTGGGGTGTAGTAAATAATGCGGGCATAGGTGTACCATCGGGTCTCAATGAGTGGCTGACTAAGGAAGACTTCATGAAAATCTTAAGTGTCAACTTGCTTGGGGTGATTGACGTGACGCTGCACATGTTGACCCTGGTGAAGAGAGCCAGAGGAAGAGTGGTCAACATGGCCAGCATGATGGGAAGACTGGCATTATTTGGTGGAGGCTACTGTCCATCCAAGTTTGGTGTGGAAGCATTCTCTGACAGTCTGAGGTAAAATATCAACTCAGCAGTTTGCTCTTTTAGCTGATTAACTGACAAGTGCTTCTCCAGGTAAATCTTAAGTAACCTGATCCCCTGAGCTACACTAAATCAAAACAGATCCTGGGGAGGGAGGATGTTGTCAGGGACCATATGAGAAACTTCAAGCAGATGTCTCCACAGCTTGAGAAGCAAGTGACACATCCAGCCTTCATCCAAGGCAACTTTGGTTGTTTCTGGGTCATGAAACTGGGGGAAAGAATACATAACTAAGGTTTCCAAAATACATGCATGGTTTAATATTGGATGGGTGGTTGCCAGTCCAGGATCTTCTCACTAGTGGCCCTTCTCCTATTGCTTACCAGGGAGACTCACTTGACTACCTTACTCTTGTGATTAGGAAGGATAATTAAGGCCTTTCTCCTTCCTCTAAAAAAACCCCATTCCCTTTTATTAAATATTGCTTATTTAATACTAGGAGTAAGGCCTGTTGTGGGAAGAAATACAATGAGCTCTAGAAGGAAGCTCCAGGTGAGTGTCCCGACTGTGAATTTGTGGGGCGGCAGAAGGAAGGGGAAAATAGAGGGAGGCAAGCCATGTTTATTTCCTTCTACCTAGCTATAAGGCAGGGCTGTCTCAAGTCATTTTGCTGCCCCAAGTGGGTAGAATGGGAGGACAGCCTCATGGTAACAAGTATGGTTCCCTCCACCCCTGACTTATGTTGATTTCGAGTTATGCAGTGGCAGCTAAGGTAGAAAAGCACCTCCTCCTATGCCATGTCTTCTGGGTTCCAAGGGTCTGGAAAGCGGTTCCATAGCCAGTTACAGGGTTGCCAACTCTGTAGATTTGAGAGGTAGAGCCTGGGTTTGGTGTGCAGAGGGACCTCAGCAGGGTATAATTCCATTGAGTCCTGTGCCCAAAGCAGCCATTTTCTCCAAGAGAACTGATCTTGGAGATCTTCAGGTGCTGCCTGGAGGCTGGCAATACTAAGGGGAGGGCCAGACCTGGAGATTTGAGGGGTAGAGCCTGGGGAGGGCAGGGTTTGAGGTGCAGAGGGACTTCAGCAGGGTATAATGCCAGAGTCCACTGCCCAAAGCAGCCATTGTAATAGCCTGGAAATTTTCTGTAGGGGAAATGATGTGCTGTGGCTGGGAAACACAGTGATTTCTGGGAGATCTCCAGGCCCCACAGAGAGACTGGCAACTCCAGTGACCGTTTAAGGGGAAATTGGGATATGCATTTTACCTCAGGACACATTCAATGACTCCCAACAGCAGCAACAAAGTGTTTAGAATGTTAGAGGCAAAGGCCAATCAGACCGCATATGCAAATGACCTCTGTGTTCTGACTGGCTAAACAGCAAACTGTTTAGAATATTGGAGGCAAGAGTCAGGCAATGCAGCCAATGGATAGGGACAGCTTCTGAGTGACAGATCAGGGAGTGAACTGATTTGCGAGTGTGTGGAATGTTCAGGAGAGCCCATTACCAAAACAGAATTATTATATAGAGAGATTATTCAACTTTATACAAAATCCCATGACAATCTTGACAAATGTTATATACATGAATATCAGTTCCCACCCCAATCAATTATCCTGTAACAGTCTTGACTTCTCACCCTTTCATTTAACAGTTTCAGGCAGAACTACATGTTATATGTGTAGCTATATGATCCCTTACAGGAGGCAGGTGTTGTTTTCAACAAGCACAGCTGCTGAGGCTGCAATTAAAAGGAGAAGACCCACATCCTTTCCCCTTAAGCAGTTTTCCACCTGAATATTTCCTTCACTGAACTGTCCTTACTTTTGTTGAGGAACTTTATTTATAATTAAAATATTTCTAAGCCACTTGTCTCAAACTCTATGATCTGAGGCCATTTTTACCATACAGTTTGCCCCAAAAGCAGAGTGTCACCCCCAACATCACCAGTGCACTGACATCTCTTCTGGGTGATGTTAGCACGTCACGCAACATCCCTGCCCACCACTGGAATGTCTCCCAAATCCCCCCATGGGTGCGACAAGGGGAACTTGCAATCCTACTGCTGGTTCCCAGGAGGTACATGGCAACCCTGTATTCCACTACAGAAACTATAGCATTGCTGGGGCAATATCCATGCAAGTCAGGAGGCTGCAGTGGGGAAGGGGATAAAATTGTTCACTCCTGTCTCTTGCATGAGCAGGGTTCTGCCTTCAGAACAAAGAGGCTGATTTTTATGTATTTGCTTCATTCATACCCCTACCTTTCTCTCCCATGGGAACCCAAAGTGGTGCACATCATTCTCTCCCCCTTCCCCTCCCCACAACAACCTTCAAAGCACATGGTTATTACTTCCTGTGGGTCCTGTAACTCCCTGGCCTCATAAATGGATGCTGGGGAAGGATATGGGAGACCAAGAAATATTGGGACCCATCAGTGGCTTCTGCTGGCAGACTGCAGGATCCAACCCACAGAGAGTAAAAATCTTGTTAATACCACTGCCATTACAGTTTTCTGTTAGTGCAGCCCATTATTCCTTTCCACAGTACTTCCACCAGTCACTTGCTGTCTTAGTGGCTTGGAAGAAGAAACCTGCTGCCATCTCAAATGGAAAACAAAGGCATCAGAGTCAGCAGATGTCTTAAATTGCCCATAAAACTAGAACCTTCTATCTAAATTTGGCAGGGAGGATTCCCTGGGAGAGTGGTACAATCTCTGAAAACTTTAACCAAATAGAATGGAAAACTAAGAAGCTACGGCCATGAATGCGTCTTCAATTGAAATCAGTGGAAACCAAAACAATTGCCATAATATAAACAAACTGATTTTCAGTTAGAGGTATTCTTGATCTTTTGATTCCAATTCAGGCGAGAGATGCTTTCTTTCGGGGTCCATGTCAGCATTGTTGAGCCCGGCGCTTTCCGTACACCCATTATAATGACCGTAGGAGACAACTTCAAGGATTTGTGGACGCGGTTACCTTCCGACATCAAAGTACAATATGGGCAGCAGTATTTTGAGAACTGTGAGTTATAATGGGGAAATCACTTCTTGTGTTGTTTTGGGGACTGTGGATGTCAAAAATTATGGGAGTCAGAAAGTAGGGTCCACTACAATGGGTACGATATAAGACTAGGATCTGGGGGAGCTGGGTTCAAGTCCCCACTCTGCCATGAAACGTGCTGCCAATCACAAGAGGGATTACAGTATAACTAGTGTGTGACAAGAAAGCAAGAAACTGACAAAGCAATACTAAATACTATAAAGATTTGTAAAACTATGTATTCTGTATTATTTTCTCAAAGACTTATCATAAGTGTATTTTTCAATATGCCATTGCAGGATCACACTTGTCATAGTATATCTCAATATACTATCCAAGAATCATCAGTGTAAAATTACAGAAATATGAAATTCTATACAAAACTATTTAGCATTTGAAGGGCATACTTCCATACATTTCAGACACATCAACATTCCACTGTGTAACAATTTCAAACACCGTTGTTTTATTTCCCCAGTTCAAAAATGCTGTATAGGTCCAGGAATTGATCCAAATAAACCACAGAATCACTTTCAACTATTGTGATGACCAAATCATTATTGAAAAGGGAATACACCTGCTCTTAGGGTTAACGGTTGACTCTGTAAATGTCTCATATATGCCACCACGAGTTGCTTGGAAGAAAACCAAGATAAAAATGTGCTAGACGAAACACCAAAAATTCTCATGCACACAGAAGTTTCAGCGTTGATGCATCAAGAATAGTCTCAGATGCATCCCCTTTGGGTCAGGAATTTTAAATAGAAGTCCAGGAGCTAGTCTGTCCCTTGTGCAATGGAGAAGCATTCCTTTATAACTGTAGAACTTTTTCCTTCCCAGCTCTCAGATAAGACAAGGTTTTGTTGCAGCTCCTGGGAGGGTCATGTAAGGAACTCTCCTGCCTAACTGGCATTTAGTGCAGAAGGAGGAATCCCCAAGGGAATTCAAGCCCTTGGAGTGTACCACACCTAGGGTTGCTAGCTATGGGTTGGGAAGTACCTGGAGATTTCTGGGGTGGAGCCTGAGGAGGGTGGGGTTTGGGTAGGAGAGGGACTTCAATGTGGTATAATGCCATAAAGTCCACCTTCCAAAGTGGCCATTTTCTCTGGCTGAACTGATCTCTGTTGCCTGGAAATCAGTGGTAATAGCAGGATATCTTCAACTACCACCTGGAGCAAAGTTCCCTCTAAGTTGTGTTAAGGAGCACTGGCACACAAGATTTGAGCCAGCAGTGCAGGGAGAATTCTGTCTCCTCACAACTGAGAGAAGGCATTTCGCCCCTCCATTGGAAACAATGGAGGATTGGGCACCTCCTTCTGGGGCCCATGGAATTGGACCCCCTGGTCCAATCTTTTTGAAACTTGGTGGTTTGGTGCCTCTCCCTCAAAAAACAGGTGGGGGCCAGAGCCCCAGATACCCCCAGACTGATTCTCCATTATAACCTACTAGGAGTAGGGCCCATTGTGGGAAGAAATGCAACGAGCTCTAGAAGGAAGCTCCAGGTGAGTGTCCTGACTGTGGCTGGTGGGATGGCAGAGGGAAGGGGAAAATAGAGGGAGGCAAGCCATGTTTATTTCCTTCTGCTTAGCTATAAGGCAGGGCTGTCTCGTCATTTTGCTGTCCCAAGTGAGTAGTATAGGAGGACAGCCTCGTGGTAACCGGTATGGTTCCCTCCACCCCTGACTTATGTTGATTTGGGGTTATGCAGTGGCAGCTAAGGTAGAAAAGCACCTCCTCCTATGCCATGTCTTCTGGGTTCCAAGGGTCTGGAAAGCGGTTCCATAGCCAGTTACAGGGTTGCCAACTCTGTAGATTTGAGGGGTAGAGCCTGGGGAGGGCAGGGTTTGGGGTGCAGAGGGACCTCAGCAGGGTATAATTCCATAGAGTCCGTTGCCCAAAGCAGCCATTTTCTCCAGGAGAACTGATCTTGGAGATCTCCAGGTGCTGCCTGGAGGCTGGCAATACTAAGGGGAGGGCCAGACCTGTAGATTTGAGGGGCAGAGCCTGCGGAGGGCAGGATTTGGGGTGCAGAGGGACCTCAGCTGGGTATAATTCCATAGAGTCCATTGCCCAAAGCAGCCCTTTTCTCCAGGAGAACTGATCTTGGAGATCTCCAGGTGCTGCCTGGAGGCTGGCAATACTAAGGGGAGGGCCAGACCTGTAGATTTGAGGGG